CTGCTCAGTTGGAGGAGCAGAAAAGTCTCCCCTGGGGACAAAAATTATCCACACTGGCTAAACCTGTGTGCAGAATCTCCCTGCGCCACCTACCCCACACCGCCGAACTGTACATCAAAGACACATCTCCCAGTTTATTTTTACATCGCAATAATACACAACGTTAGCGATATCCACAAAAGCAAAACAGGGCTCTGATATTGCACTAACCCAAGAATCAGTGCTGAATCACAAACTCTGGTCCCAAAACCAACTACAAAGTATTTGTTTTAATTAACAGAGCAGCAATGATAAAAGTCATTCTGAAAACGTCAACACGGTGTTTAGAATGCCAGCTAGTTCTCTCTGAATTATGATTAAATTAAGAAATTTGATAAAAAAATAACTTCTAATAAATTTATCAGAATGCAAATACATTAATAAATAGAAGATAGATTTGGAAATTGTCATAGTTATTTTTTTTTTAAATGCACAAAAATATATACAGCAAGTTTTAAAATGGGAGACTGCTGAAACATATGGTAAATACCTGAATGGACATGATCATGACCCCCTTATTTATCAGGTGTGCTAGTTTGAATGGATCTGTTAGCCATTCTGTGGTTAACAGGATCATTCCTTGCCAGTAAAAGCACAGAACACAAATTAACATTTTTTCCTCAAGATTATTTCCAAAACTATTATACAATATGAAACATATTTAACTCAAATGACAGGTGTCCACATGTCAATACTTTGTTCAAGGCAGCTCAAACAAATCATGTTGATGAAGCCAATAACCGGGTTTCTTTCAAGAAACTTCCACAGATCAATTAGCTTATAACCATCATACAGACTGGGTGGGCCAAATGGCCTCTTCACCTTCGTAACTGTTCTTTTATTCTAGGCAAGGTTGTCTCTAAATGTTCGGCCTTAAAAGAGGACTTTAAAAAGTGGAACACAAAACTGTAGCATTATGTACTGAGCGGGTAACCTATAAAAAACTATATGTTTTGACAAAACTTAATCTCAAAACACTGATTTTCCACATCACACAGAGAAGATGGAGGGAAAAAAAACATCCCTGTATATCCGTTATCTATAGCAAGCTTTACATGTCATCTACAATGCCCCATGTCGTGAGTACTTAGCCTGCGTCTCATGACAGCGATTGCTTCTCCTTCTGAGAGCAGTAATGGAATTGCAGGAAATTACTGAAAAGCCAATACAATTACAGATGCAATGGAAATCCGAGCACTATGGCTGTTGTGCCAGCAGGTGAAGAAAATATGACAGTTGTCTTATTTCTTTCAAAAGCTCAAGCCCGCACTGCTTTTATGCCCAGTTCTGATGAATCTCATTATCAAGTGACTCCAGCACCTGCCTGTCCTTCTTTCTGATACACAGCAGCTCATATTTACACCGAGAATGGCCGGACGAATACAATTATCCAGATAAGGTCACAGCATTCTGAGAAACGGGAACCAGTTTTTGAACAAACCTAATCAAATGCATCTTCAGTTCTAATCAGGATTTTGGGAAAATGGTTTAGTTGTAGTTGATGATCTCACAAATATACAGTACCAGAAAGGCTGTACTCAACACCCTGTACAACACATGGTCAAACGAAGCTGCTAAGTGTTTCTATGTCATTATTAAACATAAATAAATTAGTTGCTAAAACCAATGGATTGAAGTTATATGATAATGAAGCTTTCAGAATTAATTTATGGAATACATTAACATTCTAGGATCTAATTCTAGGATGCATTTTCATTAAATCCTTTTGTTAATTGATTTTCAAACCACAAAAATAAAACCAAGGACTGATCGAACTACTGCAGATATTAAAGGGTGAGGATCCAAATTCAGTTTAGTTGTACATAAAATAAAGGGATGCCCAAATATTGCTGTTAAGTTTCACTCCCTCAGTGCGATCCGTATGTTTTGTTACTGTGAAATTTGACCCAAATATATGCTTTCACTTCAACAATGGCTAATAAAAACACCAATAATAAATTGCAGAATTATAAAGAACAATGATATTTCCTCCATTATTATTATCCACTGCTCATAAGAGAAATTAAAATTGTGTCTATACTGTTTAGAGCTTTTTATCCCAAAGTCCTTTACATATAGGAGGGACACACTTACTGTATCTGCCACTGAAGAAAAACAGCCACCTGCTTGATAAATGACAACCATTATGTGCCAGCAGCCACAGGGCATGGCAGAGACAGACGTAGACGTGAGTCAGGTACAAAAGTGAGAGCAACCATGTCACTAATTGAGCTAAGGGAGAATTTAAAAAAGGCCAGATTGCATGAACTCACAGTGGATGTTGATCAGGACACCAGGGTTGACAACCACATTCTTTCCAAAAGTGACGCGGGTCTTTTCATTTAATGTCTGATCCAAAGCACTGCTCTTCTTCATGTCCCTTGTCGCCATACTGGATCATCAGTTTAGAAATTCAAGTCCAGAAGGAAAAGCATCATCTACTACTCCATCAGCACCACCTGTGGTGGCAGGTTGCTTTCCCCTGGAGTTCTCCCACTCGCTTGCTGACCAATCCCAGCCTTGCCTAGCTTCTGAGATCTGAGCGATCAGGCTAGAAAGTGCTAACACAGCTGCCAGTAGAGATGCTGATCCCACTGTCCTGGCTAAATTCCTTTGTAGGTTTGAGAAGCTTGGCCTACAGTACCTACAGCACAGTTCCTCTGTAATTCAAATGGTGAGGACATTTCTCACTTCCCTATTTGACCTGCTGTGCAGAGGGCCTGCCAGGACTATAATGGCTACCGCATCCCAGTGGTGCATGAAGTGTGAGCAACTTCCTATTTGCAAAGCACTCTAGAATCCTTCGAGGTCAAGTGTGTTAAATAATTGCAAGGCATTATTATTACTACAAAATATTATTTATCCATCCATACATTTTCCAACCACTTTATCCAATACAGGGCTGCAGGAGAGCTGGATACACCCTGGATGGGACACCAGTCCATCACAATGCAATTATTATTATTAATATAGTGAGTTGTGGATTTCTGCAATGAATGCATGGATATGATTTTTCTCAATTTGTTGTTCTTTTAATTTCATCACCTTTTTCTCACCCGACTACTAAACTTACAAATACACGTTACTAGGCCAGTGCCCTACTGTTTATTGGTATTCGGTTCTAATTTGATTTCTGGAAGTCAGAACACCACAGCCTTTTAAGGAAACAGCAGAAGACTGCAACAGATGGGACAGGTTCAAAGTGTAAAATCCCAAATTGCCCACTAAGTCAGGCCATCGCCCCTTCATAATTTAGCTCCTTCTGTTTGTGATCTGGAAATATATTCTAGACAGATGACATGTTAACAGAATCATTTCATGGTTCAGTGTCCTCTCACTGTGATTTATCCTCCTTCTGCAGACACAGAGGTCCCTATTCAGAAGATTTATGGGCAAGGTCCAAAAATCCATTCTGATATAGAAGAAACTGTGATTTTATTAGGAAACAAAACATTAGACGGTTGCATTTTTCTGTCTTTACAAATTGCATCATTAATATTCAAAACTACTCAAGCAGGAATGAGTAACAAAGGGTAATATAACAATAAAGAAAATAAATATGCAAATTGCCATGGTAACTTTATGTACTGAAGTTGACTTAAACAGCCATACAGTTGTTTAAAAGACTGTTACAGAGGTATATCCCCTGTTCAGATCATTTGTATTTCATTTTTTGATATATCAATGATTTGATCAGACATTATTAAATGCCAGCTGAGAGCAGGGGGATGCCAGTACTGTTGCATTTATGACATTGGTTTGAAGTGTTCTGTGCTCTACATTTCTGCCTTACGGAGCCTTTTTGGAAAAAAATCCTACCTGAATGAGGAACATGCAGAATATTATCTATAACTTTCTCACCATATACACTGAGTGTCTCGCAACAGATTTTTTTTTAAGTAACGATGTTCTAATAATGGTGTACAGTACTGTAGTATGCATTTCAGTGGTAATTTAATGACAACCTGTCAGTTGTAACACTTGAGGGTGTTCGTCTCTGTGACACGATTTATAGGCAGCAGTTAAGAACAGGACAGCCTCTCCCTGCTTCTGTAATTGCTGTGACCTGTTTTACAGCAATGCAAAAGGCCTGAGATAAACTGCTACGGTAGCTTGAATAATTTTTGTGACACGGTGGCTTGTTCCTCATCTGGGTTTGGCAAGATGGTGATAACATTGTGACGAGGAGCCAGCGACAGCCTCATATCAATATGAATAGAGCTAATCAGAAATGCAAATTGCAATCAGAAGGGTAAATTTAAAGCTGTGCGATAATTGCGCGATTGTGCAGATAACAAAAGGTCAAACACTTGGATCATCAAAGCCTTTAAATGGCTATCAGTCAGGATTTCATGTGAACATCAAGGAAATCTTAGAGTCAGAATAAAGCCCTTTCTGATCAGAAAAGATTACTACACCCTTTCTGCATTGGGGCTCTGTGGAGATAAAAAGGGTTTACTGGGGGTAATGAAATGATTTGGTCTGTAATGCAGACCAGACCACATTTTTTGCATTTCAGTTTGTTTTAAAAAAGATTTTAACAGACAGGGCCAGAAAAAAAACACACCTAATTTGCCGACTTCATGCTTCTGTGTTTGTGTGATGGAACTACAGTACATAACATTTGGTCCGAATACAATATTATAACAACATTGTAGTTAATAAGGATTCAAAGCAAAAATGAGGAAAAAACATATTTATTGCGTATTTATTTAGTACAGTATTTATTGCAGGTTGTGACAATTTGGTAAAACATCCGTGCTTTGCCACTGTGAATTTACCGGGCTTCTCACAGAATTGCTGCAATACATATGGAAAGGCGGGCATCTATTAATTTAAGGGGCCTGTGCCAAGCCAATTTCCAAAACTGGTTGCTGTCCTTAAAATAGAAGCTCCTTTAAAAAATCCAATCCCTGCCTAAACCAAAGGTAGTAAGTCAAGGGAGCCATCTAGTGTCTTACCGTGGGATCTTAAAGAGGGCTTTGACAGGGTGCAGCTCTGACAACGGAGGGTCTCCATCACCTAGTTCAACGGCTGTGATGCCAAGTGACCATACGTCACACCTAGCGTCATAGGAGTAGTCATACTGTTGTTCGCAAGCAATGACCTGTCAGGTGGGGGAGAAAACAAAGCATTAAACATTCACACGTCTTTAAATTTACAGCCCTGTGGGATGCATGGTGTAATTCAGCCATGTAATTCTGATAGTAAAACCACATAAAAAAAATCCTTTTCTCCCATTTAGCAGATCTGTTTTTGCGTGACAGCCCATCAGTACTAAAAGGTGTCTTGTAATCCATAATTCACAGGAACAGTAATTGGTCATCATCAACAGTGTTAATGCTACCTGTACAGAAACAATTAATTTATTTTTAATACATAACTTTTTTAATGTATAGGCTTTGGAATTTTGTGTGTAACTGTACAGCAAAAGTCCATAGATCAGTTCTATTCAATTAATCTATAAACAGCCACTTACAAAGCTGCATACTGTGCACTTAACCATTTTTTAACAGTAAAAAATAAAATAAAATGTGTATTCAATTACAGAACATCAAATTTACTTTTTTAAATTATTCATGTTCGATTTATATGGACCGAATTGAGTTAAGAGGACTTTTATTTTAGTTTATCAAGTTTATAATTTTTGTAGTTGGTTTCTTCCATGTTGAAAAATAGTGGCTGAATTTCATTTTTCATTACATTTTCAATTTTACCAGAAATTGATAGTTGTGTACAGCTGTAAAGTGGTGAAAACAGTTTGCGGTACAAAGCATTTTAGAAAAAAAATTTAGAAAAATCCTGAATGAATTTAGCTAATGATTCTTGAATAATAAATTAGTAATGAATGGTAATGATTGATATAACTGAAATTAAAAAATAATGTAGTTATTTATTGTATACTAATTAATGTTTATGCTTGTTCTGATTGCTTCATTACATTTGCACTACACCTACGTAATATTTTGCTTCTCATTATTGTGCTAAATGAAACCTAACATTTAAAGGCTGTTAGAATTCTAAAAAAAAATGCTAAAAATTACTGTTGTACAAGATGTTCCATTTGAAGAGGTGCAAAGTACTGTATGTTTTAAAACATTTATTTATTAAGCTGGACATAACCAGATTCAATTAAATCCAACCAAAGATTAAACCCAGTAATTACAAATATTGCCCATACAGAATCTCAAGGCAAGTAAGGTGTTTTGCTAGGATTTTGGTAGCTGCTACTCGACATGATAACATTCAAACACACAGATCTAAGAAGAAAATTATTTTTTTGGCAGCATGTAAACTGCAAACCACGAGCAAGACAGGCAGCTTTCTTTGTCAAACCTTAGCTGCTTCACCCAAGGCCTCTGGAACATTATCATTTAAATGGAGATTGTTTTGAGTGTTCTTCAGTGTCACCCCTTTTTTTCTGCACAGGTCAGAAACGCCACCAGTTAATTACAATAATCAGGATTTATTGGCGATTGGGTACGTTTTAATTGCTCTCCAGTGCACACCCCAAACTGCCCGGATGATGGGAGCTCATTTCTGCCTCACAGTGAGCAAGGGAAGCAGGCTCCCAGCTATTAACCCTGGAGTGACCTCCAGCGCCTGCAGGAGAATACAGAGTGTAGCAAGCTCCTAGAGAGAAAAGCAGGTCACTGTTTTGCGAATACAGTTACAGCGCGTGCTTTTCAAACATCATTCAGGATTGTTCATCACGTTTCCTTTCCAGGCATGGACGAACGCAAGTGAAGCATTAGACATTTAAAATAAAGATCAGAAATATAATGGCGATTTTGAAGCTGCCTTTTGTTTTATGATGTCTTTTTCAATACTGGACCACAGGTTTAGATAAATGTGAAAGTTCAGGAGCGCTGTAGCACCACTGTGTAAAGCCACAGCATAGATAAATTAACAACCTGTGGAAAAACCAAATAACAGCTCTACTTATTTTAAAGGAAATGTCAGGAAACCAGACTTCCAGAACCCACTGTTTTCTCAGTGAAGCCACTGGCTTTAGCGCAGATGACAATAAATCACTTTTTTTTGTCACAGCTTTGAATTAAGGTTGAAGATTTGTTAATCACCTCCACCAATATTATCTTTATAGCAACAATTAAGGACAGATATTTTTTGCATCTATCATGGGAGATGGACAAGTTAAAAAAAATATACCTTAACATTTACTTTGTATAAAAAAAGCTTTTTATTACTATGTTACCTCAGGAGCCATCCAAAAAGGAGTTCCTACTGAAGTATTTCTTCGCAAGCGAGCATTGGTGAGCTGGGCTGATACACCTAGACAAAATAAAATGTTTAGACAAGTTTAGGTTAGGGAGGATTATTCAACTTACTCTTAAATAATACTGCTTCATCACTCAGTAAATTCTACTTTAGTAATCTACTACAGTTTTAGTGGTTCGCCTTTCCCACCAGGGCTGAACTGGCATGCTCAAACATGTTGAAGACATCATCAGATATTTTACATTTAAAGCATGTTTACTTCATTTTTCCCCCCATTAATAATATATATATATATTTAAAAAGCCATGGTTAAAAAAAGCAATTTATGATATGACATGACGGCAACCACATGCCACTGTAAATTGGCAATAACAATTTAAAATTAAGTGGGACAGCTCTTTTATCTGCAGGGGGCCACTTCATTTTTTTACACAGAGGAAATAAACATGCCGGAGGCTAGCTAAAGTCATTTGCCAGAACAGCTTTCTTTTTTATATGCAAAGGATCAAATAATGAAATTTAAATGAGCAATAATAGCCTTGAGTTAAGCTATGGCCCTTGAAATGCAAAGATGTTTTATTGGAAAGGGAAACAACAACTCGGATTGCTTCAGTACAAATGTTTTCCAGATGTTATTTCTGTCATTCTTTATATATATATATTTGTCTGGTAAGGCAAACGCAAAATGGATTATCTGTCATCAATTCCTAAAGTGCTTCATCTGTTAAAGCAAAATCTCTTAAGACTGTAACAAAGCACACAGTTGATCTGGAGCATCCCCGCAACGCTCGTGGTTTCTGAGCAGGCGATAAATTGCTGCCTTTGGCTAAACTGCACACATCAGGAAAACAAATGGGAAGCAGTCATTACCAAAGTCAACAAGCTTGACTCCTCCTTCTGTTGTCAGGAGAATGTTGTTCCCCTTGACGTCACGATGGATGATTCTGTTATTGTGCAAATGCTGGAGACCCTGGTGAAAATCCCAAAAGAAAAAAAAAAGAGAAGGGGGGTGGATCTTATTTAGAATCAATTACTGTGTTATTAGGGGACATGATTAGCTCAATCTGCATTTATATTATAGGTACAGCTGTCCACTGCCTTTTATGTCTAAAATCCCCTTTCTATTTAAAATGCAAATATATTATCACCAATAATAAACCCTGAGCACAGTATGTGTACAAAAGGAAATTGCACCCTCTGCTGTTATTATGGTCTTGATGAACATCTTACCAAGAGGGCACCATATAAGATGTATGAGATTATAGCTTCATCCAATCGCTGACCACGCATGAGGAGTCCTTTGATGAGGTCTGTGACAGAGCCCCCATTACACAGCTGTGAGAGAGAAAGACAATATGACACCTCCATTACACACAGCAGTCGTTTGCTATATAGGATTCATTGATGCCTTTAACACTGTGAAACCCCACACGGGAAGACCATACTACTGTCTATTGTCTCTCTTCCAATTGATTTAGATCCCCCTTTTCAAAATAACTCCCGTAACAACGTTTTTCTCAGTGTTCACAGCCAAAGAATAACCCCTCAAGAATTATTTTAATTAGTGACTTTACTGATGGGGAAACGGACATCTATTCAATGAAAACTAAATTTGATCCTTTTTATAGTTCCAGCCAAAGAATTATCTTGGGACTGTGGAAAGATACAAATCTTCCTTTGATTGCCCTATGCGCTAAGACCATATTAAAGTATCTTAGTTTGGCAGTATCCACATTCAAAATGAAAGGTTTTCTCAAATGTAGCCAGTTGCAATTAAATTAAGATTGTACTGTCAAATTTACTATAAAAAAACAGCTTTCTGCATGTGATTATATAAAACATAAAAAGCTAATAATTACATTAAACTATTAATCGAAAGATTTTTGTCTCTTTTTTTCTACTTTTGTATGGAATTCATACAAATTCAAAATTTGTGTATTTTAATTTCCTCCTACAATAAAAAAATAAAAAAAATAATCAAATAATCACAAAAGAATGCTTTTCACAAAACCCACTACAATAAACTGGTCTGCAGGAGATTAAAAAGGCTTTGTTTGCAGTGTTAATATTCCCGTTTCCTAACATCTCTCTTAGAAGAAGAAGAAGCAAAAGGCAAATTATCTTAGTAAATAGGCGAGTTGGAAAATTGTTGTCATTTTAGAAACTGGTTACATCAGGGCTCTGGTTCTCGGGTCTCTCTACTCTGTGAAGGTGGGATGTCCAGAGATGAAGCATTGTAATCGCAAAATATCATGCAATCGCTCTCCTGTAATGGACTCCCACAGATCAAGGGGAAGAAAGTGTGTGTTCCAGCACTTCTTGATTATTTACATCTTTTAGAAGGCTGCTCATTTACCTTTTCAATGTCACTTTCATCTCGGGTGTGCAAAGAACGTCCACCATTATATCTATTTTTCTCTTTTCCTTTTTCGAAAGGATTTCTGAGACGCATGGCTTGTAGCACAGACTATTTAGGTATGTTCCTTTAAAAAGGCATGACAACGTCAAGTGATGTCTTAAAAAGTGCTCGATTGGAAGAGCTTTGTTAACGGGCTCCAACCGTGTTTTGACGCAGCTTACTTGACGTGGTTAAAGCATACTCGAGAGGGTGCGAAAAACTGGGTCAAGGTCAACCAACAGCAGAATTTGAATCACAGAAAACTAACCTATCAAGCACTTCATTTACCAGATGAATACAGTAAACAGAACCACCGCGCAAGAGGGCCATGGTTTATCTGCTCCCTGGATGAATTTTAAGTCAGCATATTTTCTTTCAGCAATTCCCATTCTGCTCACGAATGTCTGTATCCAAGTGTTCCCTGACAGAAATGAATCTACCATACAGCTGATGTACAATCCCACCAACCTGAAATGTAGATGTTCTTCCTATGAGGTCTGTGGCCTACGTGAAAGGGTAAAGATAGGGTTTTTCTTTTTTAAACTGGACTTTTGGGGGGAGTGTTGTTTACTTCACTATTTAAAATGTGGGAATGTGGCTCAGTGAAGCAATATGTGACAGAACACAAATGTTTCTATGGTTACCTTTTAAGCCGGGAGCCAAAAAAAGCAGTGCACAGCAACACAGAAACCACACACAAAGCAGTCAAAACATCCTTGCGTTTACCAGATGCAACAGCGGAAGAATATTTTCTCAGACTCCCACTCTGAAATTCCAGTGGCCATTTCCACAGAGCAGATTTACCCTCACAGGCTTTGTACTGTATGTTGTACTCTGACAGGTCTAATCACATTGTTTAGTGCTGCTTGCTTTAGCCAGTACAATGTGGAGAAGGCCAAAATTAATCTCTGTAGCAAAAAATGCTAAGGACCACTGCAGAAGAGGGATAACCTAATCTTGTGGATTCATATCACAGTTATATTCATTTTTTTTTATTAAATGTGAAGCAGTTCTACTGTTTTCAAGACTAAAATGTTTTTCAAAAAGTACATTTAAACTACAAGCATAATCAGTTTGTTCATTGTCTTAGCAATGAGACATTCTTTCCTCATATTAAAATTCCTGCAGCTTTTTAAAACATTTACAGGGCACACTAAGCCGCTACCCAGACAACAGGTCCACCCACAGATAATTTACAACCTGAAGTGCATGTACAGTACGCATTTCAAACACAAGCAAATGGGCCCTTTAAACTCGAATATGTTGACAAGTGCTGATGAGTGTTAACAGAGATGTTTGTTTCTCCTCTTACCTGATGTGTCTAACAAAGGTTTTACAAGTTTAAGTAGATCATCATAACTTAGTGGAATTCAAAAACATGGGAGCTGAGTCAGACATTACCAACCATTTATCTTATCTCTGACAGAATATTTGAAAAGTAGAATCCAACAGGATTTTGCATGTCTTACACTTTTCTTTGATCTAATCTGATTATTTAGAAACGACTGAAGAACTCAAGTCTCAACAAAGGAAAAGTAATTTCTTTGGGCTGACTCTCTGCGATACGTAACTGTATTCTATAAACAGAAATGACAAAGGCAAGGCTGTTGTTATTTTAAGAAGCTCAGTTAACCAATTTGAGAAATGAAATCAATAAAAATGAAAGGAACGGAAACGAAGCCTCACCTCAAGAATCAGCCAAAGCTGGCCTCCTGAGAGATCATCCACCTTGTAGAACATCCCATAAAACTTGACAACATTGGGATGATTGGAGAGGGACCGCAGGATGTTATATTCTGCTTCAATCTCCTCATCAACATCCTTTCATAACGTGGGGGGGAAAACAGCCAATTAAAAGATACAGCACAGAGCATCTCTAGAGTAGTCGTAACAACAATAACAGAGCCAGGAACTAACCTACAAGAACTCAGACGCAAGTGATGCAATCATGAAAAGAAACAATGAAATGTTTCCATCGCTTAGTGTTGCCACTTTTGAGTAAATCAATCTTTGTTTTGAGAGAAACTGATTTGCGTTGTTAAGATGAACGAATACATTTAAAACCGTGAACTAGAAGCGTCAAGCAAAGTCCAAAATAAAGCATTTTCATGTGCCTGAAAGGACTCCATATCCAACAACCAAAAAGCCGATTATATATATATTTAACATTCAATTTTTACCATTACCCAATCAGCACTGTCAGCATGACTGTCACAAGAGAGATGAACACAGGCTCTGTATCTTCATACACAAGTGTGGCTGAGAGAGCAGCAGGGGAGCTCAGGTCATTGACGAGGGATTGCAATCCCGACAACAATCACAGACTAGATTTCATGAAACACAACATGGAGACGCTGCGGTGCTCTGAATCGGACCAGGCTTTTTTTTTTGCACAACACAAAGGAAGAGAAAAAGCACAGAAAAGATAGAGGAAAATTCTGCTCACCTGAGGCAGAGTGTGAAAAGAGAGAAAGTAAAAAAAAAAAAAGACATGAGTCTATTCCATTAATTCTGCCATTGTTATGCTTTTCTCCTCAACAAAAATAAATTTTAGCACTGGAAAATGATCAGCTGAAGAAAGGAGTTTTTGGGTCACCCCAAAGTGACAGAAGACGCTGGACGTGGTGAATCCAAAGACGGTCACAAAGAAAAACACAAGATCACGTTTTCTACATTTGATCTCTGTTCAAACAATGATTTTAAGGAACGTCATTGTACTTGAATAAATGAGGAGGCTCCAACAGATGCTTGCAGTCAACTAATTATTAAATACCTATAATCAAGTTCTCTCTTGGGACACAGTTCTAGTGTTCACAAAGGATCAAAATAACAGAAAACAAGTGTAGGTAAACCAGATTTTTAAACATTCCACCACTTCAATACTTAAACAAGAGAGTGGAACGGACATACAGTAGCTTTTCACCTATATCCAAGCCTATGCCAAGTTTCATACCTACCTGTATGCTTACGGTTTGAGTTTAGCTTACTTTTCAACCCAGAGATATGTAAGGTTATTACCTCATGCAATGCTAATAAATGTGACAGAAATTTCCCTCATGGGATCAATAAAGTATCTATCTGGAACCGTGAAAATCAGGACTGCACCTTCACCAGCCCCTTTCTGGCACATTCTCCAAACCCATCCTTTCAGTCTGCACATTCTGAACATATCCTGTACCTCCTGTCCATCACTTCTAACAGGTGAACTGTTATCACCAGCACTGTGCCATTTGACACACCCCACTACACAAGATCAGATGACAAGGACCTCTTGTTGAGCTCTTTGTTCGAGCTCACTGTTACAGACATGCCTGACGACTTATCTGTTACCTTGATCTTCTGTGACCGCCTTCATTACCAACTGTGATTACCAAATGCATCTTACCAAATTTTCGTCATTGTGTGCCATATTGTTTTTGGCTTATATTGTAAACCAAATGCGTCACATCATCATTTATAATAGCCTTATGCCATACAGAATTCTGACTTTAAAATCGTCCATTATATAGCAATGCATCCGTGTTTGAAATCAAATTGATCTCTACCAATAATAAACTTACATGTATAGGATCCAAAATCTTTACAGCCGCTTGGCTCCCATCCTTTTTATTGTTGACTTTGTAGACTTTCCCATAGGTTCCTTTTCCAATGGTCTCCACGATCTCCCAGTCATCCGAGGGATCTGCCAGAGACTCCAGGCCAATCATGCTAGACTTGTACGGAAACACTCCATACAGCGACTTCCTAAACAAAGTAAAGATCAGTCAGAAAAAAAAAAACGACACTGAAGCCAGGTCTCTTAATGCAGCACACACAAATTTGACCGCAGGGATTTTCAAATCTGTAGACACTCCAGGACAAGGGCACCTCTGTATTATTACTTTGTAGGGTTTCTAGTATATCAAAGGGACAGATGCACTGCGATTCCAATATCTATGCCATGATTCCACCTCCACCTTACATTGGTGAAGGTCTTTCCACTCTGAATTTCCTACTCGTAATACTCTGTTCCGATTGCTCAGTAATGGTTTTCATATTATGAGGATATTCAAAAGAACATAAGAAAAGTCACGAGTCGAGGCTGATTGGCCCATCTGGCCCCTTTGGCTGGACAGTTGGTTCCATACTCCCACAACCCTTTGGGTAAAGAAAATAATCAATTTTGGTCTTCCTGTGCCGAGCAGTCAATATTCATAAAGCAACACAAAGGCTTAGGACAGCTTCTGAAAACTGGCAAAGAACACCAATAAACTAGGCGTCACCCTCAAATCACAGTACTTTTTGTATTAGACATAGGTGATGCAGTGTTCTTCATTTTTTTATATAATTCCCAGTAAGAAAGGTTGTACAAAAAAAAACTGCCGTGTTCAACGACATTCCATCAGATGTGTTTAAAATACAAAATCTGCTTAATTTCATTAGCTCTTGAATAAAAACGAAAATTTTAATGACGAATGATCCATGTTTTGGAAGGAACAGCTGTAGAGAATAAGGGAAATGTTATTTGGCTTAAGTAATAATAAAAAACTAAGTCCATAAAATAATGTCGCCTCAGGTCACTTCTCGAATGCCAATTCGAGAAATGGCATTTGGAGAAGCAGATACAGTCTTAAAGCTATCCTTAGGGAAAAATCAATACCTGAATGCCAGAATCCCCCTTCCTAATTTATGCACTTTATCATAGCGAAGAAAGTAATCATAAAACCAAGACAAACTGCTCGTTCAGCTCGGTTTCCTTATTATCTTTGTCAAGGGAGACGCCTAACAGGTTTATAATCACAGAAGACTGAACTCTGTTAAGGACAAAAAACAAATAACTGGTACTTACATTTAGACTTTCTGTGACCTAGAGTTCCTCAGCTGTTGGACTGTTTATTCAGAAATGATTTTTTAAAGCACAGAAGGTAAACAATGTGCCTGATCATTGTTCATAGTCTAGAGCCCCTTTTCTTTTCCCCCGCAACTTACTGTACAGAGACATGGCCTGTCCTGGCATTACATTAGAGTCCAGGCCTCCTGTCACAGGCTGCTAAGAGTGCTGCAATCTGTTGAATGTGAATCGGATTTACAAAAGATTAACGTGACACTAACTGCCTCTTAATCCTCTCACATAAACCTTTGCGATGTTTACCGCTGGAGTTTTTCAGGACCCAATCAAATGATTTTATAGTATTTCAAAGTAATAAACACATTTGCTTTTACCACACATTAGAGCATGCCCATGTCACTACAGAAAGATGCACAATCTTAGTCAATGTATCCAAAGTAACAGTGGGGAGCCATAAGAGTGAGTGAAACAAACACACCTACGGTATTTGTATGAATATAAAACTATATTCACACTCAGAGAACAATTAACCTCTTCCAAAAACATTTTCCAAGATGCATTTTAAACATTCTGTGACCTGTTGTATTTCATTTGTCCCATTATGGAGCTATATTACATACACAACATATGAAAGAATTTGTTGTGTGACTCTGGAGGGGGGTAGTTTTTTTATCTCAGGCTAATGTGAAACAATAAATATTAATGCCATCAAAGCACACTTCACCTCTTTCAGATGATATTGATAGATTTATGGATTAGCTACCTTGTTGCCTGACACATTGGTTGACATTTTAATTTGTGTCCAGGAATATTATAAAAGCTACAGGACACACAAGGTAACTTATATGATTTCAAATGTACCTTCATCCAAGAAGGAAAAATATAATTACAAAAAGGACACCAATTAAAAGGGGAGTAATTCACTTTCAACTTATTTCTAAAGGTAGAAATACCAGTATAAATTCTCATAATGTCAGAGAAATTAAACCCACAGCAGACTTAATCTATCACTTAACACTGTAGGGAATGGGAACACATTATATATATATATTTTGCCCTCAAAAATAAGTATATTGTTAGATCTGTGGGATGAGAAGATTAAGAGCAGAAAGCCATTGAAGATTTAAAGCCAATTGAAAGACTTTCCACTTTTTTTTATTAGTTTGATGAAAGGGGGCACTACAGTTTTTACTTTTTGTCCATGCAGTTGAATTAAATAAATAAGAGAATACAGTTCATTTTGAAGTATCGTGGAGACTGCTAGCAGAGGCATTGTCATTCAATGGAAAAAAAATGCATGTACAATATTATTGTGGGGATTTCAATGCAGACAATCTGGTGGGTGTCATCTTGATATGTTCTGGTACTGCTTTCTCCTGCATAGAGGCATAGAACGTAGCTTGGGTAATGATAAACATATTCGAATTGCAGACACCAGAGACATTCGACATTAAAATAGAATACAGCACAGGCACAGAAATACAAAACAAGCACTCAGCTATCTGATTTACAGTGCTGCTAATGCTTATTAAAATGAGTTCATTAAGTCATTTTCTATTGTTGCGTTTTCACCCTGGCATGATAAAAGAAACCAAAAACGTCAACATCTTCCTCAGGGGATTTACATTTTGAAAAGACGATAATACTCTTCTTTGATTGTTGTCAAAAAACATAACATGTTACTAAGCACAGAACACTACACAGGATATGAATTTTCCCCAATGGAAGCCGTTATCGAGTCAGATGAAATTTTCTTGCATTCCCTTTAGAAGAACCAGTGCTTAGATTTGCAATTTTATTCAGCTAACCATCACCTAAAGAATCACATTACCAGCATGTAGTACAGCTGGCTGTCTGCTCTGAACAGCAGCTGGTACTATGTTGCAATCCTAAGGATCTCTAGCCTCCATCCGATGGACTGTAATGTAAGTGCTGGTCTGTAGCATCTCCTCAGCACCTTTCATTATTAAGTTCCAATTCTGGGAAAGATCAGCAATTTTAATACTGAGCATGGAGGCTCCTAAAAAATTCAGTGCACGTGTCTCCCACCATCACACTACTAACTATGTGCTTTACAATAGCCTTCCACTGGAATGCACTAGAGAATTTGTAATATTATTATTATTAATAAAATCTTTCCAAATCTAAAGAGGCTAATTTAAATAACAGCATACACTACATACATGATGCAGTTTTGACACAGACGAGTTATTTTCAGCATCTACATTTACGTGGTCTTTCCTTTAATATGCAGATGTCATTCTTGCGTCAGACAATGTTTTGTAGTCTCAGCACACAAACACCAAGATTCCTAAATACAGGTACCATTCATCCATCCATTAGTCTCTATCCCAAGCATAAGGACACAAACCAGATACAAAAGCATAGGGCAGAAACAGATGTAGTCTGCAGTCAGCAGCCAATTGCAGAACATGCACACAAACTCAAGCACACAGGGACAGTTTGGAGACACGCATTCACTGAGCCAGCATGCCTTTGGCAGATGGGAGGAAACTAGAGCACCCTGAGAAATCCTACATGAACACGAAGTGAACATGCACCCACCACAACAGAGGTGCCTCAGTTCACAATTTAACCAAGGAACAAAACCTTGTGGGACATCAGAGGTAGCTGCCATGCCACTGTGCTGCACACATACAGTAAGTATCATAACAGAGAAAAAAAATGTCACAAAAAACGCAAAGCTTACAATCACTAACATGATTAGAAAAGTAACTCATCGTTAGAGCTGTTCGATTTATGTTGGTAATAATACCTTACATTCGACAAAACGTTAGTAAAACAGCTCTTCAGTCATATAGAGGTTGTAAATAATGAAGCAGAAATAGTAATATAATAGAAATAGATTAGAAGAAATATGGAACAGAACAGGCCTGTTTTGGGCAACACGAAATCTACATGGAACCATGGACTAGTTCACCTTTTACCTTGGACCCTTACAAATATTTTTAAACATTATTTCTTAATACTTTAGAATACAAATTAAATCTTTCAAAGTAGTATTCTACTGTTTCTTCCAACACTTGTAAGAACAAAAAACTGAAAAAAAAATAGAAAAAATTTTTTTTTTCACCAGTAAGCTGAAGTACCATTAAATTCACTTACTGTACAGTGTACAGACATTCATTTTAGAATATGTACAGTGACAAAAGGTTATGTGAAATAATAGTGATCAGGCTGTAGGGCTTAAATTTTGTTTAATCATATACTATATGTACTTCAGCATTGAAATTATTGCCTTGAATTACAACACAAAAATCTCACCTAAATTAGAGTATGGAGAATTTATTATCCATGATCAGTTTAAGAAACAAACATACCTGCTTTGCCAGAGAGCTCTCTCTTGAATCCTGAGTTGTTTCTGTAGTAACAGTTGTCCCTTCCCAAATAATGTTAATCAGCTTGAATGAATTTTTAATTCTGTTGCAATCTGTAATCTGATCTACTTTAAAATATTTAGGTGCCAAATGTATCCAGGCATGATGGAGTCCTGGACGAATATCAGAGATGAGATGCTACTTGGATTACACACAGGTAGCCAGGGAATGGGAAACAGCAAGGGGTCATATGACCTACCGTATGTATAGGTCAAACAATCGTCATGTAAACAACCGTTTGGAACCGACCTGGAACCCTAAAAATCCAAAATGGATACTTTTTTATATTATACCTTGCTAACTATATACATTTCAATGCTACCTGTTACTTTTTCCCCCATGGCCTAGTGAAACAGTCCATCATGGGTAAGGTTTACAGCAATCCTTGTCATACTAATAACCTGAGTGAAAACCACTTTTAAGAAGATGTGACAGGATGTTATGTTCCAGCAGTTCCAATATTGTGATTAAAAAATATTTGTATCTCCAGAGGTTAATACACATTCGCTTTCAATACA